TCTTTAGGTAAAGCCCTAGAAATTGGATTGCTGGTGATATATTAAGTGTGTGTGTGTGTGTGTGTGTGTGTGTAACTTTATAAGAAACCGCCAAACTCTTTACCAGAATGACACTCTTTTGCATTCCCACCAGCAATGTATAAACTTTTAATAACCTGAATACTATTTTAAACACTCTTGGCTTGAGGTTGGCAAATTGTGTTTCACAGTTCCTAAGGCTTTTGAAGAGATATCCCGCGACAAAGGGAGAACCTCCAGGTCCTCCATACCTTCAAAGCTTCAAAGAGAACTGCTCCAGTTTGTTTTATATATTGAATTTCATATAAGAATACACTTAGGGAGAAAAGAGGTTTATCTGTGAAGTACTGGAAAACCATCGAGGTAGGGCAGTGCATCCAGAGCGTGGGATGTGGACCATGGTGTTACCCGGGGTGATGCTCGGTGGCGCTCCAGGACTCTGCACATAGTGAGGACAACTCGGAGAAGGTGATTCCCTTTTCAGCTCCTTTTCAATTCCTGTAATTGTGGCGAGGAGGTCTTCTTTTAGACTGATATGTCTCTAACATTCTCCTGTACTTGTTCATGTCTTCTTTTACAAAGAGGAAGCTGGCTTTAGCCTCAGAGCCTTCAGCAAGCAACAGTATCCATCTAGAATGAAATAAACGTGTAACTTTGATATTAAATATTATATACTTTATATACAAATATGGCAAGAATTATGAGACTGATCTAGAATGACTAAAGTTTGGGAAACTCAGAACTAGGGGAGCTAGTTATTTAAATAGACCAGGAAGTGAGTCCTTTGGTGAAGTGAAGAGAGCTCCTTGGTAGAGCACATAACTGTCTCTTAGTTTATATATTTTATGAGTTTTAAGCCTATATGATAGTAATTTCCTAAAAGAAGACAGTCTTCCGTTGCTCTTTGGTTTTGCAATACTTGTTTTTCAAGTTCCTGCTTTTATTACTGATTTGACAAATATTTATTAAAAGTCATTAGGGGAGCAGTGGGGATACAGTGGTAACTAAACAGACACGGTCCCCTGCCCTCATCAAATTCACTTTCTTCAATCCTTCCTCCTTCCCCTCTTAGAGGCTCTTCAGGATCCTTGGAAAACAAGGGCTTCTGGATAAAATTTAAATTATGTGAAAGGCAGAGAAGAGATAAATGACTTTTTTTGAAAGTTATTTTAATACAGTCAAATAATTTTATTTTCATCATGTCTTTGGAGCCATCTAGATGTGTATTTTGTTTTCTATTTGAAGCATTTTTAGGTAAAATAATATGTACCTGCAGACATAGTGATAAACTACATGACTTTTTGAGGTTCCTTCCGACTTTAAGTACATGAGGTGGGGTATCACAGACAAGGAGCAATGCTGTTGTTAGAATACCCGTTGATGCCAGGACCTCTCCTAAATTAGACATCTTTTACGTTAGAGGTCGCAAATTGGCAGCTTCCTGAGTTCTGTTTAGCCATTGCTGTTTCTTGTTTGGCCCACATGGTATTTAAAAAAAGTTTGGGAGGAGGGAGGGGCGATATAGGGATGGGGGAGCGGGAGGTACAAACTGCTGGGTGCAAGATAGGCTCAAGGATGTAGTGTAGAACATGGGGAATATAGCCAATATTTTGTAATAAATGTAAATGGAAAGTAACCTTTAAAAATTGTATTAAATGCAAATCAAAACCACAATGAGGTATCACCTCATACCAGTCAGAATGGTCAGTATCAAAAAGGCTACAAATAATAAATGCGGGAGAGGGTGTGGAGAAAAGGGAACACTCCTGCACTGCTGGTGGGAATGTAAATTGGTGCAGCCACTATGGAGAACAGTATGGAGGTTCCTTAAAAAACTACAAATAGAGCTGCCATATGATCCAGTGCATATATCTGGAGAAAAACATAATTTGAAAAGACATATGCACCCCACTGTTCATGGCAGCACTATTTTCAATAGCCAAGACATGGAAGCAACCTAGGTGTCCATCGAGAGATAAGTGGATAAAGAAGATGTGGTGTATATATACAATGGAATACAGCCAAAGAATGAAATAATGCCATTTGCAGCAACATGGATGGACCTAGAGATTTTCATACTAAGTGAAGTAAGTCAGACAGAGAAAGACAGATATCATACGATATCGCTTATATGTGGAATCTAAAAAAAAAAAAAGATACAAATGAACTTTTTTACAAAACAGAAATAGACTCACAGACATCGAAAACAAACTTATGGTTACCAAAGGGAAAAGGGGGTGAGGAGGGATGAATGAGGAGTTTGGGATTAAAATATACATACTACCATATATAAAACAGGTAACCAACAAGGACCCACTGTATAGCACAGGGAACTATACTCAATATCTTGTAATAACCTGTAATGGAAGAGAATGTAAAAAAACAATATATATATTTATATATACATATGTATATATGTATAACTGAATCACTTTGCTGTATACCTGAAACTAACACAACGCTGTAAATCAACTATATTTCAATAAAAATTTTAAAAATAAACCAAATTTATATAAAAACTAAAAATTTTAAAAATTAGCTTCCAGCATTTTAAAATTACAAGTTTTCACATTTAAAAAAAAACAGGTTTCTTGTTTATTTTGAAAATTCGTGAATCAGGCACTGACAAAACAGCTTTTCTGAATGGCAGAGTTGTCTGGGACTGAGTAGTGGCTGTCTTTTTAGATAGAGCATATGCCCTCTTCAGGAACCTTGCCTCACTCATTCATGTTACCTTTCTGGCCCTAATGGCTATTTGAATTTGCAACCCTGCTTTAGATATTGGGAGCCTGGGTTTCATGCCATAGCATCGCCTAGAGAAACGCAGCATTCCTCCCTGTGCTGGAGGGCCGAAAATGTTGACCTGGGAGCTCATAGAGTATCCAGTTGGTTATATCGCCGGTATAGTAGCTGTAATTCTGGGTCCAGGAGGAAGAGATCAGGGTCCTTTTTCCTGGCTAATTCTAGTCAGGTTATCGTGGATCCTTCCTTTACATTGAAGATACTACTTCCAGTGTTACCTGTTTGTATCAGTTAGGGTGCTTGATTGTAAGCAACAGAAACAGATTCTGGTGAATTTGAACAAAATGGAACTTTATTGAAAGGATATTGGATAGCTCAAGGTATCAAAAGGAAGAATGATCTGGACTCAGAAAGTTCAGGAAACCGGGAATACTTTGAGGACCACGGGTGGTAGAAACTAAGGAAATAGATAAATTGCCTCCACATTTGTTTCCCCTTTCTTTGTCATTCTTAAGTGTCTAAAGTCCTGGAAAAGAGAATCAGGTTGGCCTGACCCACATCCTTGTTGGGGGAAAGCAGGACACTTTGGTTGACAGTGATTACTGTCACTTCTAAGATTACATAAAAGACTTCCCCACAAGGAGATCTGGGTGCTCTTATAGGAAAGGAGGACTGGGTATGGATGGGAGGCAACCCAAACAGCAAATGTTCACCACACCTCTTCTCAAGGTTGTCATGAAGATATTAAATATACACTGTAAAGTGTGGTAGAGGACTAAATAAGTAGTATTTCAAGATCCATGAGAATCAAATTTTGAGTGCGCTTTTCAAGTAAATGAAGGTATTGACATCAGTTAAATAAATACACTGAGTAATTAGAACAGAGGAAGTGGCAATTTTATTCCTTTTGGCAACCGCTTTGGTTATAACATCTCCAAAGAAGCCCCACTACCTTTACATGAAAAACAACATTTATAAATCTTAAAAGTTTCTACTCCAGTTATGTGAAGATTAATACATGTGATGAAAAGTTCTGTGATTAAAACTTGAAAGGCATTTGCTCACTCAAATTTCAAGTGCCAGTAGAATACTTTCCATTGTTTTCTTAATTGTTGTCCTAGTGTCACAGACATTTGCATGTTTAAAATACACATAAAAAGAGCCTACAGGGCTTCCCTGGTGGCGCAGTGGTTGAGAGTCCGCCTGCCGATGCAGGGGACACGGGTTCGTGCCCCGGTCCGGGAGGATCCCACATGCGGCGGAGCGGCTGGGCCCGTGAGCCATAGCTGCTGAGCCTGTGCGTCCGGAGCCTGTGCTCCGCAACGGGAGAGGCCACAACAGTGAGAGGCCTGCATACCGCAGAAAAAAAATAAAAAGAGCCTACAGAGGTGAGCTGTAGATAAAGTTGAAATGACAGTTTCAAATTTGAGTTTTGACGTAATGCTACTTGTTAGAGTAAACAGGGTGTCACGTGCTTGTGCTTTGACTGCTTGGGTGGTTTTTGTACTCACCCGTGAGCCTAATTTTTTTTTAAGGACCACAACAATAACCAAAGAATAAATGATTCTTCCTCAAATCATAAGTCTACTCTGTATAAGAATCCCTGTACCTACTATTCAAAGTATGTGGTGGATTTTCAAAGCTGGAAAGATGTTCGTGGAGGTACACTGTTCTCTGATTCTTGTGCTCTTGGTGTTTCTTTCTTTGCAAGCTCTTGATTTGCAACAAGCACGGAAAATGAGTGAACCCCCCCTCAAAAAATTTCCTGGCATGGATGGAAATAGAAATTAATGATTCAAATAAGAAAGAGTGCAGTAAGCCTTAGCTGGGTGGCAGGAACGAGAGAGAGGGAAAGTCAGAGACTGCTGTGTTTTAAAGGGCCAAAGAAACAACTCATGGTAAACTGTACGTGAAAATCATTTCTAATAATAGCTCGTGGTAGGCAGTTCCCAGGATAAAAAAGTCATTGGTGCACTGAGAAAATTAGAACGAGAATGCACAGTATCTTGATGTGTTACTTAAGGCAATGGAGCTTTAGAGTTTACCTTGTGTGCCATGTACATTGATTAAACACAAAATATATGCTGGCCGTTTTTGACCATCATTTACTGTATTGATTTGTTAGCAGGGGAACTATAATAAAAAAGCCATTGATTTACTGTCCTTATTTGCTTATGGGCTTTTTTTTATTATTAATTTTTGTACTTTCTCTTTCTCTTTTGGGGGATCATTTCTTCTAGACAAATGCTGTGCTTCGGGAAGTTAGAAGAGAGGGGACCCCTGTAGAACAAAGGAATGAGACCTTGACGGCCATCCTTGCCACACTCACCGCTCGCCAGAACCTGAGGAGGGAATGGCATGCCAGGTTTGTTTTATTACAAAATGGGATTTGTTGTCCCTGGAAAACAAGAGCTTTCTCTGGCTAATCCCTTCCTGACGGCTGGTCTCATCCCTCTCTCTGGAAGGGCCACGAAAAAGAAGCAAATTACAGATGCTTTCAGCCAAAGTTAGCTTTCCTACCCATGGTACCTACATTAATTGTAATGATCCGTGATGTCATCTGTGTGCATGTATGATTTACCCCCGAGTATAACATTTAGCAGAAATGTTTGCATCTTGAGAGTACGGTAATTTAAGTACCTGATGTTGGAGAACCCTTTTAATCAACCATCTAAAAGACGAGCATTGCTGTTTAGTTCGAGCAGATGTCTGGGAAATCCACACGGTACTCTTACATCACTCGGGAGACAGATCGCTTGAACTTAGTCTATTCAACAACCCCATTTTCAGAACTGACCAAATAGAAATGACTTTGGCTTCAGCCCAGTTTCTTTGCACATGGACTTAGCTGTGGTTAGAAAGCTGTTAACTGGTAGCAAGTTTCTGCGGACCATCAGGTTTTACAGAATTGGTGCTTGCATACTAAATGCCACGTTACCCTGCTCTTCTTCGCACAGCGGCTGGTTGGTTGGTAGAAACCTGGAACCAGTTCCCTCAAATGTTAGTTATCCTTCAGATGCATAATGTGTATTGTTGAATTACCGTCTGTCTCTAAGCAAGAGGTAGAGGAATCAGGAAAATGATGCTGGACTTTGTGTCAGAGTCTTATTCGATGCTTAAAAATTCTGTGTGCCTGGGAGTCAAGAACATTTATTGATAGCCATGATATCCTCCAAATGAGTTCATGCCACAGAATTACAATCATTGATGGCTTTACTAGTAACAGTTCTCATAAAAATAGATTTGCCTGAACAAGCCTGAAGAGGAGCATTTTCCAAGGAAGGAGAGTTAAAAGGATGAACTGTCCATTTGGATTGGGTATCAGAAAGCTGCTTTTTCACATATGTGTATTGTCTCTGAATTTAGACTTGCATTGAAACCATAATTTTAAAATTCCCAGTGACATTCTCCCCTTGCCCCCTTTTTTGTAGTGTGGTCAGGGTAAATGACAGTTTCAACTACAGTCATGAAATGACTTTCAATTGAAGTTTCAATAATTAATTTAAACATTTTCTTTGTATTACAGTTTAAATATGTATATTCACTCAAGTATGGATATTCTATTAAATAGCGGAATATCCATGAGGGGACATCTAAGAGGCTTCTCTCTCTCTTTGACCTTTTATATCTTTTCCCCTGGTGATTTCTTTTGTTTTTGTTTTTGGTTTTGTTTTGGCTGCGCTGTGGGGTTTGTGGGATCTTAGTTCCCTGATTAGGGAGTGAACCCGGGCCCTCGGCAGTGAAAATGTGGAGTTGTAACCACTGGACCGCCAGGGAATTTCCCTGGTGTTCTTACTAAATAGGAAAGGGATAAAGAAAGAGGTGGGCGGGTGGGTGGAGAGAGAGAAGGAAGGAAGGGAAGAAAGAAAGAGAGAGCGAGCCCCCTGTAAACTCTCTCCCATCCCCCCAACCCCTCCAAAGACAGCACAGCTAGAGGAGGTGTTGAGAATGGATGTCTTCTACTGAGTGCACTTGGTTTGTTAACAATAATTTCCTAATACACCAGCTCATCAGACAGCGTGGCCAAGATGGCCTGTTTAAAAGGAGTCTGGTTTCAGCATTTCTGGCCCTTAACTGCTAACAGTTTAATCAGGAGCTGGTGCCGGAGCTGAAGCTGATGTAGTCTAGCATCTGAAACAAAACTTCTCCAGTCCTTTGCGGTAGGGGAGGAGACGAGAAAGGGCTTAGCAGCTGACACTCTGCAGACCTCCTTAAAACTAAACACCTGAAAGAAGATTTCAAGCGGGTGGTGTCTTGAGAGCTCAGAAGGAAGTGTCCTCAGAGTATTAAATAACCATAATCCTTCCCCCTACCCCTTCACCAGCGCCATTTGATGTTTCCCATCCCGGTGACCTATCTAAAAGACTCATCCATATCATCTGTATAAACAGACAGTTACCATACACCTTTCTTTTCCTCATCAAAGCTTCCTCTGGCCGTCTGGAATCGGGCATCGCCTCGAGTAGCCATCGGGCGTGTGGTGGTGAAAGTTATAAAACACCCACTGCAGCACTGACCGAGCTGCCAGTGTTTCAGACGTTGGCCTATTGTGTACCTTGGAATTACACAAGGAAAAATGTGCTTTGAGAGATAATAATTAGCGCTCGCCAAAGGCCAAGCAGTGGGTTACAGTATTTTACTTTCATCAAAGCTATCAGGGGATCCTTTAGATTTAGATAATAGAAATGTTTTCCTCTGAAAGTTAAATGCAGGTGACTCTAATTACCTGATATTGCACGTTAGAGAATGCATTAGGAAGAGTACAACTTCGAGAAATTTAGGTCACCTGAGACTCCACAGCTGGCGGTAGCTTTAGTATAGGTCTGTTGTAGTAAAGGTTCCCCCCACTTCAGTAGGTTCATTTATGTTAATGATATTAGGGAGGCTATATTAAGTGCAACTTGTAACTTGGTTTTAAAATATTTGTCTCTCTCTCCTCGGCCAGGAGCCGAGCCATTGTTTGGGACTCACTGAAGTCTCTTAAACTGAAAGCATATGTTCCCTGTAATTTAGCTTTTGGAGGGAAGTGTCAATTCTGCGTGACTCGGGGTAACTGAGTTTGTCACAGTGTCACACAACCCTGGGATTCTAGAGGCACATCTGAGTGCTGTGGGTTTCCTTCCCCAAGCCCAGTAATCCCATAAACAACCCTCTCCAAATAGACTTATTAGGGCTGCCTATTCACTTCCCCAGAGTTGAATGATCCAAAGCACTTCGGGAGAAGCCGTGTGAATGCAGGGTAAGTGTTAACAGAAGTGGTACAGAATTTCTGAAGATTTGGCTTTGTTTATACAGTCCACTCTGCCTGATGGACAGCTTGTTATAGCTTTTAAAGAACTGGGCAAGCCCTCTGATCTGACCCCTTCTTGACCTCTGCAGCCCAAAGGTCAGTCTGCAGCTAATAAACTCGGAGGTTCTTAGGGTCTACTGTAGGAAGAGGCAGAAAAAGAGCAGCTGCAAGGGCTGGGTGTCTCCGGATAGGCTGCTTTAGGGTCACTCTCTGATAATGAAAATGATTACCAAATTATATGGAAGTTTAACCGCAGTAGTGAGTGAGAGGAGGGTGGAGCCCGATGTATTAGGTTTGATAAATGAACTGTGAAGAGGCCCATCTGGCCCTCAGCATCTTTTCTCCCCCCCTTTCCCTACCAAGGGGAAACATTTTAAAATAACAGCAGTACATATAGACTCAGTGACCCATGCAAGGAGCTGGAATGGATTAAGATTTAATGGTGACAGTGAAAGAAATTATCATTTGAAAAGTGCACTAAAGAAAAGGTACAGTTCAATGTCCAGGCCTGAGTTGTTTTTCTAAGTAAGAAATAGGAAAAATCAGCGCCTTTGTTTATTTTGCACAGGTCACAATGAGAAGCAAATTATTTTTTTCCTGCTTGCGTGCATAGTCTAGAGAATGTAACTAAGTCAAACACTGGCAAAAACGCTTTACAAAAAAACTGTGATCTGTTTCAGCATCTGGCCACTGAAGATTATACATTCTTTTTTCTTTTTTTTCGATACTTAATATACATGTGACCCTTGCACACTGTTTTACTACCACACTTGGCAGTTCTTCTGTAAAAAATAAGAAAGCACCTAATGTTAATTGAGTAGATAGTCTGTTCCTTTCTTTATTGCTTTTTCAAAGAAACATCATTGCGATGCTCATTAGTGCCAACAATGGGTCGGTCACAAGCTATATGTTCCCTTACTTGTTAATGGATAAGAGTAATCTATTTAAAGCTCTCTCCCAGCTTCCTGTGGGCATTGAGGGTCCTGGTTTCTGACCAGTGACATTGGCATTCACAAATCTCCGTGCTCTTCTTCGGGGGCACATGCCATGACTCTACTTTCTGAAAGAGAATGATTTTATTCCATGAACATTTTTGTATATTTTGTATGCCTACTATATACAAAATACCGTGTGAGGTGCTGTGTATGAGATAAATTCTTAAACTGTGCTCAGCGGCCAATTTAAGAATTTGTCTGGGGATGAGAATTTAGCAAGTTCCTAGAAAGAAGCTGTGAAAAGCAGTGGAAAAGAAAGTGGTGGAGCCCTCGTGACCACAACAGAGTGGCATGTTGCTCTTGCCCTCCCAGGAAAGTATTTAACTGTAGATGTCTCTGAAGTCTAGCATTGCCGTACTGTTGAAAATCCCTTATGTTGAACTCTATTGTCTATATCATACAAGCCTCACACAGACAATACTTGTGTTTAAAATAGAAATAAAAACCTTCTAAACATTACCCAAAGGTAGCATTTTTTCATCTTAGGTTTTGACTCAACTGTGTATGTCCATGGAGATTTACAGAGGTTTTGACTCAACTGTGTATGTCCATGGGGATTTACAGTGAGCAGAAAGCTGGGTGAAGGATAACTCGGGGAGCTGAGGAACGCTTCTAGAACGAACTGTGCCTTTTACCTTTAAAGCACTCTCCTTTAAATTTTTGCTCAGTAACGTGCAAATACAAAAAATAAGACAAAAGCCAGGCCATTCGGGGGTTTTTGAGAAGCCAAATTGAGATGTAATTCATATAACATAAAATTAATCATTTGAAAGTATACAGTTAAGTGGGTTTTTGTTTTGTTTTGTTTTGTTTTTAGTATATTCACAAGATTGAACAGCCATCACCATTATTCAATTTCAGAGCATTTCCATTACCCCAAAATGAAACCCTGGACCTGTGAACAACCACTGTCAAGTTCCCCTTCTCCCCACACTCCCTGTCAACCACTTTCTGTCTAATCTGTTGTACTGTCTCTATAGATTTGCCTGTTCTGAACACTTTCTATAAATGGAATCATATAATTTGTGACCTTTTGTATCTGGCTTTTTTTATTTAGCGTAATGATTTCAAGGTTCATCC